TGTCCCGTCCCTGTAGGAGAGCAGGTCCTTGGCTGTCCCGTCCCTGTAGGAGAGCAGGTCCTTGGCTGTCCCGTCCCTGTAGGAGAGCAGGTCCTTGGCTGTCCCGTCCCTGTAGGAGAGCAGGTCCTTGGCTGTCCCATCCCTGTGAGGGAACAGGTTCTTGGGTGTTTCTTCCCTGGCTCCTGCTCTCATCCTCTGCCTCCTGGTTGCCACATACACGACCATAATGTTCTGTCCAGGCACAGAGGGGCAAAGTGACTGTGGCCTAGACCTTTAGACCTCTGAGCAGCAGAACCCTGTCCTTCTACCAGGTGATCTGGTCACAGGTACAAAGATCAGCTACTCTAGTACTGAAAATGGTGTCATTGCTGTGACTAAATCCTAAGTGTGTGCAGCTGGGTTATGGGAAGAATTTGAAAGTTTGGGGAAGTGGGCTGGAGGAAGCCTGAGAGATGAGAATGCCAGTAAGAATACAGTAAATGCCAGGCCATGCAGTACTGCTGGGAATCGGGATAGAGGGGATTTATGTTACAGTTTGACAAATAATTTGTCTGAATTTTTTCCCAAGTCCTAAGACTTTTAAGCTAAGTTTTAAAGTAACTAATTAATTTGGTGAAGGAAATTTCAAAATAGCATGGTACTCTGGCTGAAACCTGGCCTTTTCTGCCCACTTTTAACCATATTTGCAGTGAGAATTGCAAGCAAAAAAGCTGAGCAGAAGAATTTGAAGACTGTGCAATCTGGCCTAAAAAGTAGTGTAGAAAGTTGAAGACATAAAGGATGTGGTTGTTAAATCAGTGGCATTTTCAAAGAAGCCAGGCACTTTTTACTGGGATATAGGAAGCATGCCTTAAGAGCATGTATGTTGCTAGGCGGTGGTGGTGCACACCTTTAATCCCAACACTCGGGAGGCAGAGGCAGGTGAATCTCTGTGATTCAAGGACAGCCAGGGCTATACAGAGGAATCCTGTCTCAAAAAATCAAGGCGGGGGGAGGGGGGGAGAAAGAAAGAAAAAATGCTTCGTAGGTTTACCCAGTCTTTAGGATTTTAGTTAATTCTAGATGTAGTCAAGTTGACAACCAAGAATAGCCATCACAGTGTGGTAGGAACTGACCAGACCCAACACACAGTTATCCAGGATGTAAAATTGTAAACTCATTTGAAAGACCTGGTGGTGGTCTGAATGAAAATGGCCCCCATAGGCTCATAGGAAAGGCACAGTTAAGAGGTGTGGCCTTGGAGGAGGTGTGTGCCATTGCGGGTGGACTTGGAGATTTCAGATGCTCAAGCCAGGCCCATTGTCTCTTTCTTCCTGCGACCTGCAGAATCCTGACATCGCTTTCCAGTGCCATGTAGACTGAACTCTGACCTGTAAGCCAGCCCCAGTGAAATGTTCCCTTTATAAGCCTTGCCTTGGTCATGGTGTCTCCTCACAGCACTGAAACCCTAATAAGACAGACTTGCCCTTGAGAACAGAGTCTCCAGGCTCCCTGCTTACGCAGGGATGTCCAGGGAACTACTTGCCCAGGTCCATGGAGGTCCATCTACTGCTCCAGCTGGCAGCAGAGGTTGGCACCAGCCCTGTGATGTAGACAGGCAGAATCCGGGAGTTTCAGACTCATGGAAGCTTCTACTCATTTCAAAGGGAGGTCTGGGAGGCCAGGCAGCATGGCAGGGCTGAGTCCTACATAGACGGCAGCATGGCAGGGCTGAGTCCTACATAGACGGCAGCACGGCAAGGCTGAGTCCTACATAGACGGCAGCACGGCAAGGCTAAGTCCTACATAGACGGCAGCCCCTGAGCAGCCGGCGGTGTTGGCAGTGACAGGAACAGGGAACTCAACAGTGGATGGAGCCAGTGCTGCCCAGTAGACCTCAAGTCATTGGAAGACCATGTGTGCCCTGAACTCCAGGCATGGGGAGCAGGGGTAGTGTTTGTGCTGCTGGGTGTGGCCTCTGGTCTGTTCTTTTTTGGCCTCACTACTCCTGTTTTTGCCTTTGTTTTTATATGCTGTGCTGTGTTGGTGTGGGTAATCCTTTCCTGTTTAACATGGTGTAAAGCCAGCTAAGAGTTTGCATTAAGTCTCAAAGAGACTTTTAGACATTGATAGAATTATTAAGACCAAGAGCCTGAGAGATGGACTAAATGTATTTACTGTATGAGATGGCAATGAGCCTTGTGCTTTAAATGTTTTCTTTCATAAGAGTTGCCGTGGCCATGATGTCTCTTCTCAGCAATAGAACACTGAGTAAGACGGGTGAATTTGCTTTCTAATGGAGTCTCATGTATCCCAGGCTGCCCTCAAATTCATTGTGTATCACAGGGGGTTTGAATTCCTGATGCTCCTGCATGTTTCCCAAGTACTAGGATTACAGGTGTGCACCGTCGTGTCCAGTCTGTGCAATGCTAGGGACTAAACCCAAGGACTCTGTGTGCGCTGGGCAAACACTGTACTGCCCGAGCTACATCCCTGGCCCTGGGGATGTTCTAGCATGACTACAAATGTCCATTACAGGTTCCTGGGTTGAGGCCCAGCTAGTGACATTGGGGTTGTTCTGTAAACCTTAGAAAGGAGACCTAGCTGAAGTAGGTCCTTGGGATGCCCTGTCCCTGGTGCCTAACCATCCCTTTCTCTGCTTCTTTTTCTGCCATGATGTTAGCTGCTCCACAGTGCTGTCTCTACCATGAGGGAGAAAGTGATCTTTTTAAAGTTGTTCTCAGAACACAAGTCTGTGGGCCCCAGGGTCTTCTAGTCTGGAATCCTTCTAGCCAGAGAGACACGGAAAGGGCAGGTGCCTGAAAGTCACATGGAGTCACAAGAGTCCTCAGGCCAGCAGCAGAGGGAAGCTGCAGAGCCAGCTGGAGCTGGATGAGCCCAGAGCTGGGTGCCAGCGGAAGTGAGGGAGCAAGGCGAGCGGCCATCACAGATGACCACTTCTGCCCACAGGAGCAAGAACTCCCCGTCTGGGCCATAGAGCAGGCCTCCTGTTCTTCTGCTCACACGAGTAAGGAGCCTGCAAGGGGAGGAAACTAAAAAGATGGCCTTGCTCTCTGCACAGCAGGGGAGGTTGAGCTGTATCCACCCTGCCGTCACGTCCTTCAGTGCACGTGGACCAGCCCACCGTGGCGCAGGCTTGTGTGCATTCAGACCACAGCCGCAGTGAGAAATGCATCCTGGGCAGGGACCAGGGAATGGAACCTGCAGGACACACCTCCTGCTGGAATCTAAAATTGCACTCAACCCCACTACGTGCTCATGACCATAATCGAGATGAATGGCGCCCTCTGTTTGAACAACACAAGCTAAAACTCCAGCTTCAGACCAGTGTGCGTGGGTGTGTTTTCCCTTAGCTCCTGGATCATGTCAGGTCCCCTGTCCTGCACCCTCTTCTTAGTAGTGATCCTCCTAGCAGAGACACTGCCCACATCAGCCTCCCCTGTGGTCTTCCCATGTATTGTGCCCGTCACTTGTCCTGCAACCAGAAAGAAAATTTAAACCAGTGACCAAGACTCAGATCTGTGCCTTTGTAGAAACAAAAAGTCGGCATTCCGAAGTCTCATTTGCTGTCTGTTATTGCAGGTGTCATGTTTTGTCCTGTAGTAGTCCAGGCTATAGATATTTCTATGACTTTGCTGTTGTAGTTGGGTTTCCTGATGGTTGTTGAGATGGGGACGGAGTCCTATGTAGCCTGAGCGAGCACTGTACTCACTGTGATGGGGGCTGGACTTGAATTCCTGCCTCTGGCTCACAAGTGCTGTGGTTACAGGCAGCCTGGGCACCACCTGTCTACCCTGGAGACTGCCTGTGAACCAAGTACAGGAAGATTTGTTGTTTGTGCGAGCCTGGTGCTTCCTGCCCCCAGTGGCTTCAGGTTGCCGCCATTTCTCAGTTACTGTCCCTGCCCCAGCTCTCTTTGCATAGGGACATTACTACTTGCAGAAGCCCAGGCCGCAGGCAGGACTCAGCACATGGTGCCCATCAGAGTGTGATATCGAAAGTGAGACTCCAGTGACACACTTGTTGCAGTTCCTAGCCCTCCCTCTAGGATCACACTTGACCCAGCATGTGCCCAGTGAGCTCAGGCTGTCTACACTGGCCGTCTCAGAGCCTGGCCCAGTGGGCTGCATCAGGGCCTCAGAAGTCCTTATTCCTCACTAGTTGTGTGTAACAGCTAATTTTGATTAGTAGCAGTACTGGATTAGGGAGACACTTAGGATGAGTCTTCAAGCATGTTTCCAGAGACTTAACTGAGGGAAGTCCGCCTGATGTGGGCAGCACCCTCCTGTGGCTGGGTTCCCAGTCTGAACAAGGCTAGAAACAGGAAGCGGCCCCGAGCTCCTGCATTCCACTTTCTCTGGCTTCTGGTCCACGGAGATTGTGCCATGCCTTCCTGACCAGGGTGGACTGTCCCCTCTCTCCACAAGTCACTTTCTGTTAGGTGTGCAGTCATGGCACCAAGAAGAGTCACGACCACAGTAAGAATCACGAGGGATTTTCCTGTCATATAGTAAGCACTGAAAAGGTTTACTTTAGTCATTTTTGTTGGGGGGAGAGAGAGAGAGAGAGACAGAGAGAAAATGAAAATGAGAACACCGGAGGGCAGCCTGAGAGATGTATCATCCTCGGAATACAGTCCACTGTACTTGGTTTCTCCATGGTGCTGGGGGATCCTTATGCTCTCAAGGCAAATGATTTATCAGCTGAGCCCTCCTTGCAGCCTCTTTGTTTTGTTTTATGAGACAGGGTCTCATGTAGCCTAGGCTAGACTCAAACCCACTCTGTAGCCCAGGATAACCTTGAATTGGTGTTCTTGCCTCCACCTTCCAACTACTGAGATTATAGTCTTGTTCTACCAGGTCTAGACTTAATAATCTTTTATTATCAGATTTGACCTGGGTTCTGGCTATTTCAGAAGCTTTGAGCTTCCCCACAAAGTCACGTGAAAAACACGTGGGCTGAGGATGAACTTCGTGGTGTTGGCCCTCAGTTTCTCCTCTCTTTGCAGGTTGCGAGGCTCATGGAGATGGGTTTTTCCAGAGGGGATGCCTTGGAGGCCCTGCGGGCCTCAAACAATGACCTCAATGTGGCCACCAACTTCCTGCTGCAGCACTGACCTTCAGCCCAGCTGTTGAATGACAGGGGTGTGTCCCTGCCACCACATCAGCCTGAGGACCAAGCAGACTCAGCACAGAAGTTCTCAAGAGGAGAGGGTGGTCCCCACCATACACTGTCTTAACTCCAAGATGGTTACCATTGTAGTATCAGATAAGTTTGTCATTAAATTAGCATGTATTTTCTATCTTTATTTTTTTACTGGGCCTTTCTCAGTTTGGAGAATCGTCATTCTCGACATGTTCAGATACACGACAGTTGCAGGCTCCTGTGCAGTCTTATAGCACGCAGACGGGGCGCAACTGTCATGATGCTCGTGTGGAGCAGTCTGCTTGTCCTCAGTAGAGGGGGACCGGTCATGTGACCTCAGAAAGGCTGTGTCACACTGCTCTTTATGGACTATTTTCCTTAAATACGTGTTCACATCCCAGTGGCTGTTCTGCCCACACTGCCCAGATGTTCCTCCATGAGGGAGGAAGCAGGAGATGAGCCCTCTCTACCCTCGGGAATCTGGCCCAACTCCTCCCTGCTCTCAGTAAAAGTAACAATCCGGTGCCAGCTTGAGGCTCTGGAGTGCCCCATAATACTGAACTGGGGTTATTTTGCTCAGAACACCCTGTGGTGGCCACTCAGGCTAAGGGTGAAGCAGAGTAAGGGGTGAAATGAACAAGGAGCAAAGTTGCTTCCTGGAGACTGGTGGGGCCTGCGCAGAGAGCACAGAGCTTGCTGGCATGGCTCAGCCCAGAAGAGACGAGCTAGCTATCCCAGCCTGCCCCACTTGGGTTAACCTGCTGGCCCTCTGCACACACTACAGCCCTTCTGGGAACAGATTCCCGTGCCCCACCCTTGCCCCTTTGTGGGTGAGGAATACCCCCTGTGGGACACAGTCGTGGAGGTAAAGGCAGGAGGGGCCCACGGTGGGCAGGAACAGCTCTAGGAGCTGATGATTGTCCTATAAGCAAACTGCACTGGGTGTGTTCTGCAAATGAGCAGCAATGTGTCAAATTGATGCAAATTTAGATGTGTGATACTTACAATAAAGTTTTTATGTGTTTTACTTTCCTGTCATTCTTATTAGACTCCTCTAAGTAAAATTTCATTCTAAGCAATTCCACCAAAAATAAAAATGGACCCAGACTACTTGGGCTTCTTGAAGGCTGAAGGCCTGTGCCCGAGCGTCCCCTCTGTCCCTGCAGTCCCCACAGCAGCGCTGAAGCCTAGCACTCCGAGCCGGGGACCCTGCTGCCACCACCACCCACTCAGTGTGAGGACAGAAGCCACCTTCCTTCACTGCCCAGGGCCGTGTAACACTGTCCCTGGAGACAGGAGTGTGAAGTGGACTCTGAGACCCACCCTCTGTCGCTGCTGAGACGGAGCCACAATCCAGACACACGCTGTCTCTTGGTTTTCTCACCTTCACACGGTAGCCCAGCCAAGACAAAACGAGCCTCGCCCACAGCCACAGCCTCACTGCATGGGATCCAGTGAGAGACTGGATCCAGGAGGGCAAGGGACCCCTGCTACCTGGGATTGTTTCAGAGAGATCCCATCCTGCCCGAGAACCTTCCATTTCAGTTCTGCAGAGCATCAACAAGTGACACCGCCCCCAGTCAGTCTCCTGCAATGCCACCTACAGGTTCTCACACTGAATACCTGAGAACATCCCCACCTTGTAGGACACATGGAGATCTTTCAGGTCCATGGCACCCACAAAGGAAGACTTCAGTTGATGCCCATCAGAGAGGAGCATCCGCAAGCTGTTTGATTGGGTCTAGAAAAGCATTAAGGCCGCTGGCTCTGTGCAGATGGTAACAGATTGGCTGTTTTCAGGCAAGCAAATTCCAGACTGAAATAGGAATTTATCCATAGTGAATAAATATGTCCTGTCGCGGTATCAGTTACCCAGTGCTGTTGACAACGTACCTGTCACAAGCACCTTCAGCGTTTCGGCATTTATTCTGGCTCACAGTTTGAGGAGTGGAGGGCACAGCTGCAGAAGCACCGGCCGCCATCAGGAAACAGCTGGATGCTGGTGCTTAGCGTGCGTTCTCGCTCTCTCTCTCTCTCTCTCTCTCTGCTTTATCCAGTCCCCGGGATGGTGCAGCCTATCAGCTGGAATACCCAGAGGCGTTTCCATGGTGATTCCAAATCCACACAGGTCAATAAGGAAGATTAACTATCGTGATAGCTAAGGAAACCCTGCCTCTGAGGTCCCAGTTTAACCAGACAGCATAGGATTAGAAAACAACTTCGGGCAAATCAAACACAAAACGATCATCCCAGTGGCATTTGGAATGCTTTCTAGGTCCCTGGGTCTATGTTTCTAGAGTTGTTCTTAAATTGAATGGCAGTATCTAAAAACCACAAACTCCAATATCTCATGTGGCTAGCAAATGGTGTATCATTTGTGAAATATTTTCACGCAGGTCCCCTAACAGATGTAGTGTTTTATGAGGGGACAGACCCAGAATGTTGGCTAAGATTGAGCCCAAAGCAAAATTTTAGTTCTGACATCTTAGATGAGGGGAGCCAAAATCACATGAATTTGTGAAGCTCCTCACTATGGCTATGTCTAGCAGAGAGCCAGTCCCAGTGGCTAGATTTTGATGTTGCCCTCACTCTATAGTGATGAGGACCAAGGCAGAGGATGGAGGCTGGATACCTACGGGAAAGCGCCCCTAGTATGGAACGTCAGTCTGGGAAGACGTGAGGCTGCAGAACTGGGCTGGAGAAGAAGGGGCTTATTAGGGGCAGAGAATGAGAGAGAAAGGCTGATGGCATCCCGGCGCTGCAGGGTCAGCAGAGGGCAGCCCCTGTTGGGGAGGGACACAGGCAAGGTAGGGCAGCATGGTGGCAGTAGGTCCTGGGTGGGGACAACAGCTGGAATGGGAGGGAGAGGATAATCCAGA